GAGAGAGAGAGAGAGAGAGAGAGAGAGAGAGAGAGAGAGAGAGAGAGAGAGAGAGAGAGAGAGAGAGGGAGAGAGGGAGAGAGAGAGAATTATATGCTCTATATGTCCATTTGAGTCTGTGTGAGTTCTTTGACTGATCTTTGCCATGGTTTTTATGTGGGTGTAGCCCGCGTCGCCTGCACCGCTGGCGCTAAGCTAGTCTATGGTTATAAGGGAATGGTGGAAAAAAAGAAAAGAAATAAAAGCCATCATAAGGCAAGGGCATTTCTATTTTGGATCCATGCATCTGGTGGAAAAAGGGATGTTTGCTGTGGTGATGGTCTACAACACAAACGCACATGAAGCTAGTACGCAGCATTGTAGATAGTGGTTTTCAACAGGGGAGGGGCTCCACCTAAAGAAGCAGGATTCAATTTTGGAGGCCTTGGCACCCCGGAAGGGCCTGAACCTACATCTCTCAGACTTTGTATTCTTTTGCCTTGCGCACTGGGCCCTATTAAAACTACTCTTTCTGAAAGGGAAAAAAAAAGGGGCAGCATGCTAGGCTACCAGAGTGGCCTGGGACCACTTGCCCCAGCAGGCAAGAAAAATATATATGTATTATATATATACCTAGCTATCCAGCCTGGGCGCCCGGGCCACCGCAGGTCGCCCGGAAGGGCGCTCGGGGCGCCCATCCGTGCGACCCCCACGGCCAGGCACCAGGGGCCCCTCAGCGCCGCCCCCAAAAAACGCTACAAAAAAAAAATTGCGCCTTGGGCCTATGGCCCTGAGGGGGGGGGAGAAATATGGCGGTGGCCGCAAAAGGTTTCAGGGTCGAGTAGGCCCCATTTCGTGTTTTCTTTTTTCTTTTTTCTTTTTCCACCTAGGTCGTTGATCTGCGATTCTGCATTGATCGACGGCGCCGAAGTCCCGAGATTTAGAATTCGAATCTCCGGACTCGCCTGCGGCTCTGCGCCCTCCGCCCTGCGCCGTGTGGACTACAGCCTGCGCCAGTTTGTCACCGCCTTGCCATTGTTGTCCTCATCATCATCGCCGTGCCGTGGTTGTCCTTGCCATCGTTGTCGTCACCATGCCGCCCTCCTGCCGCACCATCGTCATCGCCATCCAGCCACACCATCATTGTGGCCCTCCATCCGTGCCATCGTCATCTTCCTCTTCCTCCTCTTCTTACTCTCTTCAGTTCTTATTTTTCTTCTTTTCATTCTTCTTTCGCCTCTTCTTCTTCTTCTTCTTCTTCTTCTTCTTCTTCTTCTTCTTCTTCTTCTCCGTCCCCTTCTTCTCCTAGCTCCGCCATAGCGCTTCTTCTTTCACCTCCTTGCTCCGCCATAG